GAAGAAGAAGAAGAAGAAGAAGAAGAAGAAGAAGAAGAAGAAGAAGAAGAAGATGGGGGAGGAGGAGGAAGAGGAGGAGAGATAGAAGAAAATAAAGAGCAGGACAAAGAGGAGGAGAACAAGAGAAAACGGGAACATTTTTGCGAATGTATTTTTCACTGTGTTATCTTCAAAAATGAGAATTGTGGCCATTGTGATCCTCTGCCTGATGTATTTGTTGATGGCAACTGGAATTAAAATGAAATTCAAATCTATATGACAATCCCCACATCCACTATTTTCAAGAATAAAATATATAAATTGTAGCCTACATTGCATGTTGTCAACATTTGACAAAACTTAATACATGATAGCTTATTTATATGTGTAAGTGAAGCTTAGTCTACAGGATAAAACACTTTCTCTAATTTAAAAAAATTATACATTTGATTATATGCTGTGTTCAAGCAATAGACCACTAAAGCACTTGCGTAAGACAAACTGGAACTATAGAAAATGCTTCACAAATATAAAAATACTGCCTCGCACTTGGGACAAAAAGCCTGAAAGGTCACAAAAGTGGAACTTACGTCTTACTAATTACATCATGCAGAGCACATTTTCCATTCGGTCAACAGAACGGAAAGAGTGCACAATATTCATTATTCACAGACAGATTTATAAAGGCGTTGGGTGTGTGGAAAATTACATATCAATAGAACAGACACACACACAACTTTTATTCATTATATAATATTAATTATCCTAGGAATCCAATCAGCTTTTAAATGAATCAGTCTTTTCCATAAAGTTTTACCGTTGGCTTTATTGCATACAGACAGTAAGTCGTGTTGTCGCAAGTTAAAATACTTTACACCCTTCGACTCTTTAATGGACGAGTAACAAATTTTTTTCCTTTATATATTTTCCTAGCCACATCAACATTACATCATAACAAATACTTTTTAATCTCAAGAAAACAGATGCTTCAGTAGGCCTACCGATGTTTCAAAGTCAAACACTTAAAGAAACGAATGAGAAAATGAGCAAAGAATATTGCAGGTTGTCAAAAAGGCTTGAAGGTGGAAAAAGATATAGATCTATTCCAGAAAATATTCTTTAAAAACAACAAAAACAAAACAAAGCGAAAAAAACCCACAACCCCCAACTACTGCCAATACTGAAACATGGTTGTGCCAAATATCCCATTCTTAGAACAATGAGAAAAGTCAAGCTTTTTTTTTTTGCTATTTCAAAAACGAAATGACACAGAGAAAAATAAATGCATGGGGTCCATCAGTTAACGGTTGTAGCCTATTTCAAGGTTGTTTTGTTTTATCTCCAGGTCAGTCCAAGAATTTTGAATCCACACACACACACACACACACACACACACACACACACACACACACCTCTCTATAAATGCATGTAATGCTAAGCCTCTTATATATTAGTTGCCCACTCTCGTAAACAAACACATCACACACACAGACGTCACATACACACACACAAATCTTGTACTCCTTTGCAGTGTACTATACACACCTGGCGAACCTGTGCGCACAACTGACAAACACTGCAACAATACACACCTTGTCAACATAATAAATATAGCGACAACAAGATAAACGCTTTCGCACTTACCTGGAAAATCCAAAGGCAGATGGGAAAAGATAACAGTCAACGTTTCGAATAATAATACAGCCTACTGCTTTTTTCTTTCTCTTCTCTCGAGAGGCAGTGGGCTCTTATAACATACTAGATCTAGTAATTGCAAGGCTTTCACTGGACTCTCTAACGTTTCGCCTACACACTACACAGGTGTGGTAACCAAGCTAGCGGTCGAGGATGCCAGTGTTTTGTAGACGTCCTCATTTCACAACACTAAACCATTTTTTACTTAAACGAACACCAAGTATTCACACTGTTAAAAACATCCTGTTCTTCGTTATGCCTGCTCTGCACAGAGACTACCCGGAAGCGAAACAGAAACGCCACATGCGACTATTTTATTTCATTGACGACACGCCCAAACACTCTAAAACAGAGCACGCAGGTATTTCGTAAAGTTCCCGTTTTCACCCTTGACTGCCTCTAACTCGACACCGGTGGTTGCCAGATCTACCCAGAGCTGATCGAATGCCAAAGCCAGCCAAAATAGAATAAACCATTTTAGCCTAGGGCCTAAGAGTTTTCAACCCCCCATGTTATAAGAAAGTGCCCCCAAAAGTCCCGATTCGGTTCAACATTATGCAATTTGAGTTGTAGTCATTTTTAGCTTCCTCACCCTCTCCTACAGCTATTTCAATGCTTAACAACCCTCCAAAACCCTATTCCTTCCCATACCGGGCATTTTTGTCACCACCATTTCCTCATAAAATAAATATTTTATTTTTCTTTATCGGCCGTTTTCTCAAAACGCTACTTTCCTGTATACTTTTTTGAATAACTCCATCAATTTTCATTCAATCTTCATGAAATTTTCACAGAATGAAGAGAAGATGTAACGCAAAAAAAAAATTTGTCTGTTGAATTTTTGATACATGGAATATATT